TATCATTAGAAAGCATCGAATCCAAAATTTTAGCCTCCTAGTACTCATAGTTCCTGAGATATGAATGGTCAAAAGTGCCAAAAATGACGTTTTTTCGAAAAATGCGATTTTTTAAAATTGAGATAAGTTAAAAAATAATGATTTTAAAAATATAAGTTATATGTCAATTTATAACTCTATTAAGGGCCTTTTATTGAATATTAAAAATTTTTTCAAAATAATATTGTTGCTGTTTTTATTTAAGTTATAAATTTTTAACATGAAAACTCCAAGTGTTTCTCTTTCCAAATTTTTTTGAATTTAATATTTTCTTATTCTCTAACCTTATATCTATTCATAAAAAAAATTTAAACTTGGGACAGCCATGGGTTTTTTAGTTATTGCGATTTAAAAAATCAAAAAATAAATATTATTTTCAAAAATAGATGGCGCTCCTTTATAAAATAACGCGTTTTGTTAAAATTATTATTTTTTTTAAACTTTTTCCCATTTTAAACATAAATAATAAGGTTTTCCAGCATTAATAATTTTAAATTTCGTAAAATTATTTTATTAATTTGTAAATATAATAGATAAATAAAAATTCATGAAAGATATTACTTAATTAATAAATTCGTCTGAAGATTGAGAAATAGTCTCCAGAGTTGTTCTATCTACCGAAACCCATTGTTTAAACGTAATAAGAGCTATATCATTTTTTATAAATAATTTTTCAATGCGTTCTTTTAAGAGTGTCGAGCCAGGACACTCGCTACAGTCACCAAAATAACAGGTTGGTAATGGGGGGTTGCAAATCATTCTGCCTATAACATCTCTATAAGTTGTTAATATATCCTCACCATTTTTAGTCAATGTTGTTAATTCACAGCCTAAAATCATTAGTTAATATTCTGGTGTATGCTACAAACGCATACACTATGTGTTCCGCTAGCCCCTGCCAATATGCAATTTTTTGGTCTTAAGCTTGCGAATTTCGAAAATCCAATTGTTATGCTTGAATTACCCTCCTTAAAATGACTATATAATTCTTTTAAATTATTAAGAACTAGCCTTTTTTGAGCGTTCACTCGTTCCCCCTTTTCAATGATAGATAAGCAATCTTTTTTTCCTGGTAATACCCTACTAACTTTATCACTGCAAAAAAAACTTTTAACAATATCAACTGTTTTGATTGAGATATTTTGCAGGCTTTCGATTTGGAGTTGAAAGAATCCCCTTTTCTTTTAAAATGATTTTGGAATTATATGCCATATGATATGTAGCGTTGAATTCCGTTTTTATTTTATTTGCACTCCAATTAGGAGGCAGAATGGTCAGCAATTGATATTTTTTATTTTTAGATAAATTAGGATAATGTAATTTCATATTGTTGAGTATATCATTATTGTCTTTTGTGTCCGATTCTGGATTGTTAATTATTATATCTGAAAGAGCTTTTGATATTTTTGCTATCTTTTTTTTGAATAATTTTTTTCAGCTAGTTTTTTTTTCTTAATAGGAGATATTCCAATTTCGTTTAAGGTTTAATTGATTGTATCTATTGATGCGGATGCTGTGGGGATATTATTTACATATTCGCTATCAGAATTTATATTTTCAATATTTTTTTGTGATAAACGCTTACGACATTTATCACAAATATAGTGTTCCGCCTCAATGTTTGGAAATTGTGTCATCCACGTCGTAACTTTACGCAGGTTCTTTTTACAATAAAAGTGTTTAGATTCTTTAAAAGGATTTGCACATTTATATTTATACATAAATAATTTTAAGAAAAAATTAATATTGAAATATTTGTAAAATAAAAATTAATTAATATCAAGGCAGGTGCATGAAAACTTGTTATTATCTTTCAGAAATTAATTATATTTTCTTATATAGGAATTGTAACTATCTTTTTAGGAAATTAATCATTTATTATAAAAACTAATAATTTTTACAAGTTATCAATAAAGTAATAATAATAATAAGTAAGTCATTGATCTAAATAATATATTTTCATAATATTAATGCTGGAAAATCTTATTATTTATGTTTAAAATGGAAAAAAGTTTAAAAAAAATAATAATTTTAACAAAACGCGTTATTTTATAAATGAGCGCCATCTATTTTTGAAAATAATATTTATTTTTTGATTTTTTAAATCGCAATAACTAAAAAACCCATGGCTGTCCCAAGTTTAAATTTTTTTATGAATAGATATAAGGTTAGAGAATAAGAAAATATTAAATTCAAAAAAATTTGGAAAGCGAAACACTTGGAGTTTTCATGTTAAAAATTTATAACTTAAATAAAAACCGCAACAATATTATTTTGAAAAAATTTTTAATATTCAATAAAAGGCCCTTAATAGAGTTATAAATTGACATATAACTTATATTTTTAAAATCATTATTTTTTAACTTATCTCAATTTTAAAAAATCGCATTTTTCGAAAAAACGTCATTTTTGGCACTTTTGACCATTGATATCTCAGGAACTATGAGTACTAGGAGGTTAAAATTTTGGATTCGATGCTTTCTAATGATATTGTCTTAGTATACAAAATTTTATCGAAATTAAAAAGGTCGAGCCGAAAAGTTATCGATTTGGTATGGAATTACCCTATGGTTTCATATAAAGATCCTGATATTTGATATTATTTAAAGAAAATTAATATTACCATAATTTTTATTCATTCTATTAAAATATATTAAAATTTTTAAAATAGTAATTATTATTTTAAAAAATTTTTGGATTTAAAGAGAAGTTGTTTGGAAAATAAAAATAGAATAATTATTCTTAAAATAAAAAATTCCAGTTTTAGAATAATAATAAAATTGATTTTTTAAGAAATATATCATGTTAATAACATGGATATTTTCAAAGTCTACTTTGAAAATGTTTTGATAACAACGAGAATATTTTATTAATTGTTTTATTCCTAAATTTCTAGAGACATACATGGTAAAATGTGTTAGAACTGGTAGATTGTCTTGTCCTTCACTGCAGAAACACACAATTAAGTGGCTTCCTCCTCCCAAAAGGGGGCATATCCAGTGCAGTGAATTTGCATCCACTGTTTGGCAGTAAAATTTACCCTTACCATCAAATATTTTGTTACAATTATGGATTCATATAATCATTCAAAAATTCACTAATCTATTGAAACAAATAATAAGCACATTATTAATTATATATTTTCTTATTTTTTTATTCTTATCAATATAATTACTGTCGGGGCCTGACAGTAGGGTAAATTACTGTCAATTAGTGGATCAGGTATGATCATCCTTCACTGCACTGAAATTAAAGTTTTTGTAATCATTCATTAATGTTATTTCTAGATTTACCATCAAATATTTTGTTACAAAAATTCACTTATCTATTGAAACAAATACTCTAAAAAGATAAGCACACTATTTATTAATTATATATTTTCTTATTTTTCAATTTTTAACAATGTAAATTACTGTCGGGCCCTGACAGTAGGGTAAATTACTTTCAATTAGTGGATCAGTTACCATCATCCTTCTTTTAAATGGGCCCTGACAGTAGGGTAAATTTTACTGCCTAACAGTGGATGAAAATTCACTGCACTGGATATGCCCCCTTTTGGGTATCGAGTTTTATTAAATGCAATGATATACCTTAAATTTTTATATTAAATATTAACAGTTGAGTCTTTAAATCTTCCATCAAGTTTATTCTGAAATCTGGATATATATATGAGTATCATAATAATATTTTCAGAGTTTCCATATGATATAAATAGAAATGACTGAATGAATGTTTAGTTTGTAAGGTGATTACTATTGGACCGATTATGCTATGATCATTTTTATTGGACAAATATATTTTAAAAGAACACTATTGGCTAAATTTGATTGACGGTTTTTGAGGATTATTATAATAAATTGATTAAAAATATCTAGTCATATGATTTCTAAAAGGCGGCTATTTCAAAACTAAAACTTTAAATTTTTTATTTTGTTAATTTTTAGTAATTAAAATGTTTCATATCTATTTAAAACTTAAATATTTATTTATCATAAAAGCTTTCTATTTTTGGATATGGAACATTTTCACTTTATTGACGATCAGATTAATTTTTTTCTTCCATGTCCATTTTTTCCGTTACAAATGAAATAATTGTAAATTTATTATTTTCACTAATATATTATTTCAATTAATTTGTTTAACGAAGAAAACATAATTGTGAATAGCTATTACTTTTAGTGTTGTTAAACGGCTCGTTTTGAGCCGTTTTTAAAAAAGGCTAACTCAATATTTTAGCCAGAAAAATATTGCCTAAGCCTCGAGATTTCTCTAATAGATGTCCAAAACCTTTGTTTCTTCTGCAAACAAAATCTTCTAGCTTGCATGATAGTATTCTGGATGGAATATTGAGTTAGCCGTTTTTAAAATTCGGCTCAAAACGAGCCGTTTAACAACACTACTTTTATTTTCCTTATTTTGATTTTATTATTCAAATACTTTTATTTATTAAAATACTATATATATAGTTTTTTTAAAGATCATTATTACTATTTTTATTTTACATATTGTTTGATATTTGAAATAAACTATTGATGTTTGAAACAAACTATATAAATTTTAAAAAAAGAAAAAAGTACACACCTTTGTAATTTTCAAATGGATAAAAATAAGTTTTCTGAAAATATTATTTAGGGTAAGTTATGATAAGTTGTTAGATATCATTTGAAAATGAATATTTAAATTTTTAAAAGCGCTTGCCCGAACAGTTGGGAAAAATGGACAAGAAATATTAAAATCAACGATATTGCAATTTTTTATTATTATTCACTGTGCTTTCATGATTATTTTTTAATTAATAAATTGAAATATATTGTTAAAAAATATAAGAGTTGGCGGATATCAATGACGCGTTTGTCGTCGAAATAATTGTTCAATAGTCGTAGTGTTAACATGTTATAAAATTCCTTATTTTAATAGAAAATATAACAATAATATCAATAATCATTTGCTAAAATTTAAAGAATCGAGAAACGTGAGAAGGTCCACGCGCAATTTAAGGGACGCGGAAGGGGCATTAGGACCGGCCATCAACGGCCTTCACCCAGAGCTCCATAATTTGAGCTTATCTCAAACCACCTTAAGTTCTGGTCAAATAGTATTCCTAACGACAGATGGAGTTTCAGATAATATGGATCCGGTTGTCAGAAAATTGGCTTTGATGACAACTCCACAAGCTAACGCAAGAAAAGGAGAGAAGTTTAATTTTTAGTATTATATTTTTTTCGTTTGTGTAATAATAGCGTGTCTTAACTGCCAAAATTTTAAAATAAAAATGAATATTAGATCTATTACTTCAATCCCTTAATTAGGTAGGTCCATATTCGGCTTTTTTGCATTTACTTTTCCTTAAAATTTTAGCATTCTCTACTAGTGTTGCCATATCTACCCATTTTATATGAATTGAATTTATTAAAAAAAAATCAATTACTATAATTTAGCATGACCACTATCAGAAAGTATAGGAAGGGTATCACTAAGAAGACGGAACCTCGAATATAGCTAAACTTAACATGTTTATAAAATAGTTATCAATAATAATATATCTAATCAATATTCAACACAATTATATAAATTTCTTTTATTCAAAATATTTCAATCAAAATCTCCAATCAATGATTCTTTGTTATCAAATCTCGTAAAAATGTAAAAAATTTAATATGATTGAGATTGACATTTACAATAATTATTTTTTTTTATATATCTATATATTTTTACTATTACAACAGTTTAATATTATTTATTCTTTTTAAATTAGCGTGAATTTGGAAAAGAATTCTAATAAGTTCATTGAAAGGCCTCATCACGATGCGTTGGAAAGGAATGGATTACTAAATTATGGTAAAATTTTTATTTTAAACAAATTCTAACATATTTTATATCTTTCTTTCAATAAGATTTAAAATTTTTCACTTTCCATTAGTTCTACATCCTTATCATTTTAATCTTATTACAATAGTTTCCTTTAAAATGAATTAGTTCCCTCTGTGACTGTTATCCAGAGCCATAACTAGAGTTTGGAATCGGTCTACAACCCTCGTAACGGGGAAAAATCTAGGAACCAGAACCTTTATCTCCTTAGAATTTCTAGAAACCGTAGCCACCAATTTTAAAATTTTCACTGAGGAGCAAAACCTGGAAACCTCATCAAATCTAAGAATAGAACCGATTTTTTAAATTTTAAGGAACTGAAACTACTTTTAAGAAGTATTGGAAACCACGTGTGAAAGGGTAATCTGTGAGATTTTGAAAACTCACACATCACCAGAAACGTAAAAAATTGAAATTATGAAATTTTTATTTTTATAGCTTCAAATACATTGGTCAAACTATCAAAAAAGGTCTCAGGCCATGTCCTAGTTCGACCTAATTTTGATACTTAATTGCATTTTAGCCTAGATTAAACAGCTTTTGTACTAGGACACCCCCTATTTTTATTTTTGTAACATTGTTATTTTTCGTATTTATTTCCTTGTTTTTCGTTTTTGTTTTATTTTGAAATTTTTTCTTTTGTTTTTAGACTATTAAGTCGATTAGGGATGTTTAGTTATTAGTCGGGACACCCTCAAAGCTTAAAATTCTAAAAATATGATTTATCTTTAAGTTTGTAGAAACAGGCGCGTACGCAGCGGAGGGGGGGGTACAGGCGAATAAATCTCCCCAAGCTAAAAAATTCAGATGCTAACAAATATTTTTCAAAGATATTAATGATAACTACACTTATTGTTTATAAATTCTAATTTACATTTATATATCACATTCACAGCAAAAATATATTCAATAATTAATACCGATTTCACATTTTCCTGGCGTTAAATTTATCTACCATTTTATAATTTATCAAATCATTTGAAACTTTTTCTTTGCACAACTACAGTAAAATTTTTCAAAAATATGATATCGGTGTTATTGAAACTATGAAAATAGCTGAAAGCATTATATTGGAACTTACGGAAATTAGGGCAAATGTAGATGAGGGATTTCATAAATATGTCATTGTTGAGTCAATAGCAGAGTTGTATGAATTTTATATTTATCTACCTCGACTCGCAGCAAGGCAAACATATCGTTCAAATATTAATATAGGATCAGTTGAAGAATACTATAGAATAAATCTCCTTATCCCCCTCTTGGATACTTTAATAACTAAACTGAATGAAAGGACCTTAATTAATCAGGCATACAAATCTGCAAATAGTATTCCCGCAGAATCTTTCCAAATCTATTTCAAATCTTGTTAGAGAAAAATTAAATATGAGGATGCTAAAGTATTCCAGGATGCATTACTACCTGAATTCAAACTATGTTATAAAAGATTAATATGATTGATAATGCTATAAATGCTTCTCATAATTTCACTCATTTAAGATTATTTTCCTAATATATATTTTTCTACCAATAAAAGAACAATTCCTTCTTTAACAAGATTAAAATCATGCCTGGAAAGATTGACTAAGTTTTTTTCCTAATAGATGTCCAAACTATCTGCAATGGACGGGAACCAAAAAGCCCACCCACTCGTTGTTTAAATAATTTTTTAACCCGCCCACCCACTTATAATTTGTTTTAAAAAATTTACCCACCCGCATATTTATCTACATTTATTTAACCCGCTCGCTTAATGTTTAAAAAAAATTATTTTAATGGCTGGTTGGCTCTTATTTATTTATTTTAATGTATATCAATAAATTGAAGTCTTTTCTGCTCAATTCGCCTGAAAAATATTAAAATTTACTTGCTAACGCCCGCCTTTTAAATTTTTTTTAACTCGCCAGTAATCCGCTCAATGTTAAAAATATTTTAGAAAATTGACAACGCCCGCACGATATATGGGCGGGCGGGTTAAAATACCTTTGTGCCACCTATGAGAAAAATCTTCAGGTTTGCGTAATATTTTTCAGTATAATATTGGGTTAGCCGCTTTAAAAATCGCTCAAATTTAGCCGTTTCACAACATATGTTTAATATTTCTTTAATTTTTCTATTTCTTTATTTCTATCTATTATATATATATTTTTCAAATATAACAATATTTCTATTCAAATCACAAAATTTCCAATAGTATATTTTCAAAGTAAAACATCAAATTAAATAATTTCCATTTTTATAAAAGTTTTTGTTTTTTCCAATAAAACATAAAAAATTAATCCCTTATAATATATTTATCAAAAGTAAAAAAGTAAACAAAAAAATACCAAGTGTTTGAATATCAATTCTCGATAAAATAACTAATAAATAAAGTATATTCTTTTTAATTGACATTTTATAATATATATGTACAAATATATATCATAATAATACAAAACTACAACACGCCCACCCTTCATAGGCCACGTGTTCCATTATCCCTAAATATAATTTCATATATTCGCTTCATTTTCATAATCTCCAAATCTTCATTTATTTGATATCATTCCTTCATAATCTTCAAGCCTTTCATTTGTGTCATAGCTCTTGGTCAACATTACTCCCATATTTCAATCATTTTCTTATCTTCCAACACATCCGGGTTATATGTAACATATATGATAAATATATTTCCAAAATATTATAATCAAAATATATGAATCTAAATATAACTTCTTTCCCAACAGAATTACTCAATATTTTGGTCTCAAATGAAATTAGAATTTTCATTTACATTTGTATTATAAAAAAAAATGATTTTGTTAACATAATTATACTAAACTACATATTATAATAAATTTGTGATCTACGCTATTATTTTGTTAAAATTCAATATAATTATGTAAATATAATGTTGTAAAATTTAATAATAATATGTAAATATAATTTTGTGACATGTATATAATATTTTGTTAACATTTGTAAATACAATTTTGTGACATATATACACTTATTTTGTTAAATATATTTTAATATTTTCTTTTCTTTCACATTTGGTCCTTTAAACCAATTATGAACACTACTTTTTTTTAAAAAACAAAAATAAATATATATACACTCATATTTATTTCTTTTCACACCACTGGAGATCGATTATCTTATTTAAGTTTTTTTTTATTTTCTATTATAACTGTTTTATCAAAGATTATATTAATAAATTTTTATCTCACTAAATTCACTATTCCCACTGGAAAATTTTTCTTTTATTTAACTCATTTTTGCACATGTTAATTTAAAAAATATGAATTTAATTATATTTAAAAGTTTGTATTTTAAGTATTTTTTATATATCCACTCATATTTTTCTCAAAATTAATTTTAAATCACATATTTAAAAACATAATTCCATAATTAATGGAAAACATTATATAAATTTCAATAATTAAGCATTTATTGAAACTATATCTACTCATATTTTCCCAATAATTAATAATTTAGAATTAATGGAGAACATTTAAGAAATTTTCATAATTTAATACATATATGCACAATATATATATAAATCACTAATTAAATTCCCAATCAATTTAAACTTAATTTTTCTCAATAATTAAGCATTTGTTGGAGCTATATTCACTAATATTCTCCCTATAATTAATAATTTATAATAAATATATCTAATTTAATAGAGTATTTTTTAAATATTAATGATTTATAACCAATATATACATTTATATGGTATTCATAATAAATAAAAATTAACAATAATATATTTACTATTAATTCCTTACTTTCATATGGTCGTTATGATGTATCCCAATATTTCCGTCACAAAATTTAACCTTACTCATTTTTATTCCAAAATTTTCAAGTACAATACCTTTCTCCCATTTCTGATCTTTATTATCAAAAATACGACCCCATATTAATTTTTCCACCGGAAATTTTATAATGGCCTTTTCACAAGGTTATATTTTATTACTTCCATTTGGTGTTAAAAAATCCAAAAGAAATCTTGTTCTCCTATTCAAAAATAACTCTACAGGAGTAACTCCCTTATTTTTTGAATTATTGTAAAATAATTGCGCTAACCAAATATCACTTTTTTCTTGTTTAGCCTTTTTTATCCAATTTTTTACAATAGCTACCATCCTTTCAGCTTGACCATTAGAGCTAGGATGATAAGGTGGAGTAAGTATGTGTTGTATTTTTAATTCATCACAAAATTGTTTAAAATTTTCACTTATGAAGGCTGGCCATCAGACACTATTTTGTCCGGCAAACCAAATTTTGCAAATAATTCACTTAATTTATTATTGACAATTTTAGTTGTATAACCATGTACCTCTGCATATTCTATCCACTTTGAATATGAATCCACCACTAAAAAATATGATCTTTTATCCAAATCATAAAAATCTATATAAATACGTTCCCACGGTTTCTTTGATCTAGGCCATAGTTGTCCTAACTCTTTGCGGGGCATATTTGCACATGTATTACATGGAACACATTTCCTTGTAATTTTTTCAATATCCTTACCCATACCAGGCCACCATACATATTCACGAGCCCAAGATTTCATTTTATCTCGACCCTGATGTCCGGCATGTAATAAATTCACAATTTTAATGCGTAATTTCAAAGGAATTATAGCTATATTTCCTCGCATTACACAATCATCCACCACGGACAATTCTTTTTCAATTTTTTTATAATTATTACCCCACGGTTTTTTACCCAACAAGAATAATTTTATTTGACTCAATTCTTTATCTTTTAGAGTGTTCATTTTAAGAGTTTCCCAATCTGTGGGACCTCCTTTTAAGATATATGATAGAGTACGCACTAATGCATCTATCTTCAATAATCATGTTATCAATTATTTCAGGAGTAGCACAACCTGCCCCTAATCTCGATAATATATCTGGCAAATGATTTTCTCTACCTCGCCGATATTTTATATCTACGTTAAAACTTCCCACAAGTAACAA